CAGTTGATTAAATCATCATCAAGTCGCAGCACAGAAAGTCAATTCTGCTCGCCGTCTACAATGATATCCTTTTATCTTAAAGTAATGAGCTATGGCACTTTTGCATCGGGTAATACGATGAGTTCCATTAGCATGTTCCATTTGCTTCACAAGCAAGGGCAAGTCATTCCAGCCGGCTTCTATCTCGGCAATCAAAGCAATTGGCTGCACAGCGAGAGAGCAGAGAAAAGGAAAAATAACACGATGAAAAAAAAACAGCAGACATGTTTTTTTGTGGATCACAACACAGTGGAAGAAACTAAAATGATGTCCGTTATTAAAGCCTTTGCTCACTGGCGTTCCTTGGTGTGTGCCGTGCAGGAAAAAGAAGCAGCTAATGAGTGCATTGTCACACTACTGATGTCACATTCATGAATATGTGATGCCAATTAGTCTTGACTGCTGCTGTATTAGTTAGCCCTGCATGGGAGGCAATATAGAGAGCACACAAACATCAACAGATGCATCAAAAGATGCATCACTGCTGTGCCTTTTTTAGGGTTATTTAAAAAGTTTAATACGCTGGTTATGCACTTACTTGAATAAAAAATGTCTACACTGCTTAAAACAGAAAAAAGTAAAAGATTAAGTGTATTTACCCTTAATTTGAGTAGGTAAATTAGATGATTTGCCAAATGGAATGAGATTTTCTACTCTTTAAATAAGATAATTAAATATTTTGCACTCGAAATAAGACAATTAAATTGTTTCTCTCTTTTTTAATGTACAGTCTTGTTCCATTGGTGTCTCACTTACCACGATTCAGGAAAAACTGCACATATTTTAAGAAAAAATGACTTATTTCGATTTCCTTTTTTAGCAGTATAAACAGCCATTTTTGTCTTGACATAATTTAACAGAGCAGCAATGCAGCTACAGATACCAAGTGCTCAGCAAGAACAATGATAGATAAATAAAAAGCAGAAACAGTGCTAGGGGATATTAATCACAACATCGTGGCTACATCCATAAACACTTTGCAGACATCTTTATGTGAGAAAGCAAAGACAAAAGGAATGCTTTACCTACCAAAAGTGGTAAAAAAGAAGGATTTTTAATCAATGATATGTTCATGCATTACTAAACTGATCTAAAAATAAGCACACATTTCTAAAAATAAAGTTATTTGCCCTTGATTTGAGCAGGTAAATGGGATGATCTTCTAGTGGAATTAGTATTTTGTGCCCTTAAATTAAGATCCCTAGATATTATGCACTTAAAATAAGAAAGTTAATCTGGTTATATCAAGTAAAAATTAAAGGTATAGAGGACGATCTTTTCTTTCTAAATAAATCGTCCTCCTAATTGTCAATCATTCTGGTGATACCTCCTACGTGCACGTAGCAAAAAAGTTAGCTATATTTTTCTGAGTATGTGCACTTTCAGGTGTATATGAGTGGTGAGCTACAGTTTCATTGAAGCTACCTTTCTCACTGTGGTTCTTGGAAAATTGCAGAGGGTCGTAAGAGAAAACCTGTCTACAAAATGTATGAGAAGAAAAGAAAGGCCTCAGAAGAGGCAGATATATGCCAGAATACCCGACAGCGGCGGCTAATAACAAAGATGGCGCAGGTCACGTGAACCCCCCTGGAGGAGGGGTCACGGGACCAACTGGGAGTAAAAAGCAGTGATCATCTGTCTGAACGGTCAGTTAACTGAGTTTACTATAAAGTCCAGTATATAGTCCCCGCTGTATGTGGACACAGTAAGCTTGTATGAAGTATGAGAACATCACATTTTAAACAGGGTGTGCACAAGGAAAAATGGGCTTGTTCATGCTCTCACATGCACATTTTGTTGTCCTTAGTGAGGAAGGAAGGTCTTTTAAAAAATCATCGACAATACCTTTAAATTGTTTAAGAAAATTTGCTTAGACTTCAGTTGTTCCAGTCTATGGAGCCCTGATATAGTTGTAGGTTTTTTTCTGCTTTACCAAGCAAAACAGTAACACGGTGCCTTCTGGTTTTAACCTGAGACAAAGTTCAATTTGATCTGATTTAGAAAGATATTGTTAATAAAAAAGCCAGAAATGTAATTTATAAACCAGAACTATTACCCTCATCTAATGGTGGTTATATATTTACTGGAACATCAGTGTCCAAAGGAAAAGAGATGCAGCTCCTCTTCTAAGCTTTTACTTTGCTATTATTTCACCTGTGAGTCTTCGCTGAATAAATAAATATATATATAATATATACAGCGGTATATCACTTGGATTAACATGGTGTGCTAATGAAGTGGTGGCTACAAAGTTAAGCAGCATAAAGTGTTTTGCCAAATCTGAGGCATCTGAGTAAATAAATAAGGTGGGAAAGGCTGCCTTATCTACATGGTGAAAGGCGGAGCTAGCATGGCCATATTTAGATGCTAGCTTCCAGGCTAACCTGCTGTAGCTTTGATTCTGTCGTGTGTGTCACCACTCGATTCGCTCCGAAAGCACGATCATGCTGTGCATGCGTGGACAGCATAGTAAGATCCGGATCGCCGAAAAACTACATAATAATGGTACAGAAAATACTCATTTATATACCTAAAACATTTGAAAATGGTAAACTACATTGCATAGAAAATATTGAAGACTTTTCTGGAAGAAATGGATACGTTTTACATTCGCTCCATTGTTTTGAGTGACGTCATCATCGGATATGCTCAGAGCAGTCACAGAAACTTTCCAAAAGCTATTTATGTCACGATGGGGGTGGAGGTTTGACAGAACCCAAATGCAGAGACTGAAGCTGAGGTGGTTTCTTGCTAGATTTAATTAAACAAAAAGGGTAACAGAAGCAAAAATCCAAAACATAAATCTTCAAAACCCAAAAACACTGAAAACCAGGAATACTCACAACAAGGGGGCAAAGAAATGACGACAAACCAGCAAAGAGTGACTGAACAGGAGGAGAATATATGGGAGAGAGAAACAAAGACCAGGCTAAATAGCAGATTGGGAGCAGGTGTGAACAGAGGTGTCTAGAAGGGAGATAGTGAAAAGGAGACTCACATAGGAGGGCAAACAAGAAATATCTAAGAACTCATACAATCAAAAATAACTAAAACACAAAAATGGAAATAAGACCAATGAAAACTCAGAGATAAAACTTGAACAGAACAAAACCATAACAATTTAAGTGTGTTGATTTTTTCTATTTTTTAATATGCAAATACAAGGAAAAAGACAAAAGAATAAAAACGTAAGAAAAACTAGCCGCAATCATTCTGTCCGCGCATGCACGGGACGGAATGTGCTTCGGGGACGGATCAGGTAGTGACAGTGTGAAATGTTACCCATATGAAACATAGCTTAGCTCACAACCGGAAATAAGTAATACGCAACCATGGATATAAGAAAACTAGAAAAAAATAAAATAAAGTTCACATTTAGCAATTTATATTAACAAACTGGGTTGAACCAGAGAGTTCTGTCTCATTACAGTTTTTGAACATCCAGCCTGAAGCTAACAAACCAGAGATTAGCTTGAATTGTAGCATCCCAGCCAGCTGACTGGTTGATCCCTGAAAGAAGATCGACAGAAACACACTTTAAACGGGCCGGTTCTGAATATGCAGGGTTACAATTGAGAAATGTGTCTACCGACTACTAAGCAACTGGATGAATCAATGAATGAATAAATTAATGAATAATAAGATTTCAGGCAAAACAGTGAGATTTGAAATTTAAGTCATAAACATGTATTTAACACGTAAATGATGATACCTCTTCTGCTTTTTATAGTCTTAACACCAGCAATGTTACTGACATCTGCTTTTAAGAATGAAAATAAAAACATCTCCAGACTCGTGTTGAAACTTTGATCCATATATAAAAAAGGAACTGAAACCATTATCACATTTTATTCTTATTACATTTATCAACAGTTTTTTTTTTTTTGGTCTTGTGACGACCCTGCTAACATGTAATGATGATCTGCACTTATCCGTCATTATCCACATTTCCCGGGTCAGTTGTGACAGGCGCAGGCTGCAGGTCCTCTGCATACCTCTTTAAAATGTGGGAGGAATGCTGAGGGCAATAGTGAAAGAGTGAGACAGAAATGGAGCAGGAGAACGTCTGAGGAGTGTTTGCCCGCCGCGTTTATTGCCTCTGCATAATTTATGAGCTGCTGGAGCTGACCATCATGGCAGCGTGCCGCGGGCGGCCCCTGGGGCCGTGTGGGACAGGCCTGTAAATTGGATGCAATGCTCCTGCTGAGCTCGCACCCCCCTTTTTTTTTTTTTTTTTTACACCTTCCAGCCTGAGAAACGGATCAGCCTCAGAGCTAGCCAGCTACCTTTGAGTTAAAGGAGATAAAGGGGGAAAAAAATAACAGGCAGGGCCTTCTGTTGCTTACTCCCTAGGCTGTCAATCATCTCCCCGCCTTCCTTCACTCCTGCTTTAATCGCCACCCAACTACCCCCGTCACTCCTACCCACACACTGTGCCAACCCCTACCCACAATCCCCCCCAGTGCCTTCTTCATTACCGACTCCAGTGCTTCTGTGCGCCTCAGCCATATGCACAGCGTTGAGGGCCGCCAGTCACCCAGCATCGCGCTAATTAGTTGATAAAGAATTAAGTGGACCTTGAAATTGAAATTGGAACGAAAAAATGAAATCCAGCCACTTTTTTTTTTCTTCCCTCCATTACAAAGTTCCTTCCTCCTCCTGTCACTGTGCCATTCCCGGCCTTGAGCGGTAACTCTCATCATGGAAATACAGTCGTTTGAATTTCCAGCTCCGTCTGATTCCTGCACAGGTTTCAGTGTTAACAAGACCACAGCTGCTCACAGCTAATAAGTTCTTGTCTGCTCTAATGAACTGATCTGATCATATTTGTTGATTGAGGCTCTGAATATGCAAAAGGTTTGCAGATTTAAGTTAAAATCTCCCACAGATTGCAGACGAACGAGGGACCTGAAAGTGTTTCTCCTAATTCCTTCTCCTTGTCTGTCTTTTTTATTTTGCAGTGTGACACTGAGAGTGACCAGGAAGACAAGGTAAGCCTGTTATTCTCTGCATACACCAGTGACACTGCTGCAGGCATCAAGATATTCAGAATGAGCCAATCTTTAAGACTAAAGATTTAATGTAATTAGAATTAAACGTCATCTTAATAAGTACTAGAAGGACTTAATTACTTGCACATTAATTATGAATGGCTTAATGAGGGAGCTAAATCTAAATCTATCCGGTTTTTAGGGTTTGGGGGAGGTTTTAAATGGGACTGCTGTGACAATCTTGAGTGGTGATATTCCTGTTCAATCATAACAATTATTGAGCTATTTTTAGTTCGACGTCCAGCCCTTGTATTTTTACCCTGTGCCTTGTCTATACTCCTTGCTCTTGTATTCACTGTTGCTTTCTATTAAAAGGAAATTCATCACCATGCTTCTTTATTCCTATAGTATAAAGCTTTTTTTCAAACTGTCTGTTCTTTATATAAAGTCAAGAATTTTGTGAAACATCAAATCAACCAGTCAATTATGATGCATCCCTGTTTTGCGTAATGTTTGGATAGAATTAGGAGGGTTAAAGGAGAAGTGCGGTCATATTCATAATTTAGACTTGTATTATATAATTATTACATACTGTTCAATAAATGATCAGTGTTTTTAATTAATCCATGTTTGTCAGTGAACACTACTGCCACCTACTGGTTAGTGACGTCACGGTGCGGTATCGGCTGTTGATCAAGTCCCAGTGCTGTATCTGGTGTTTGTCACAACGCGCTATTATCCAATTCATCTTGACAACATTCTTCTTCCAAATATTGGCTACATATTACGTGTTTTTTCTCTGGCCAGAAGTTCGATGGCAAATCCTCCCTCTTGAAGTTGGCAATCCAGCGACGAACCCGTCTGTGGAGGATCAGGAATCAGAAAGGTGTAAAATATAGAAATATTTATTTTTTTTTCACTTTTACCCAATGTATTCCAACATCCAGCTGCCATGCACGTGGGCATTGTCACTTTCACTATAGCTCTGGTGAATTTCAATGGTGAAGTCCGCTGGAAATCTTCAATAATTGTTGTTGATTGCAGATGTGTCTAGTAGTTCCCATTGATTTAGCTTGTAAAGAATGGCGCAGGGCTTACCGCACCGTGACGTCACTGCCCTAAGATGACAGGAGTGAGGTGTTACTATATTTGGGGAAAAAATGGCCGCTCCCAGACTCAGGGATCGCGACAAAAAATAATGTTTTTATTTCTTTACTGATTAACGTAAAATGTATTAAATCCCCGCGAACATATTAGTTTTAGGTATAAATAAAGATCCATTGATTATTCCTTTCTGACCGGACTTTTCCTTTAAAAATGAATCACCCTCTTCTGGATCCGGACAGAGCAAATAGATTTTGCTTTGTTGTGATTTTCCTGTTTTTTACACCAAACCACCACTCTGGTAAATTGTAAAGTCGTATCATCGATGGATTAAATCAGAAAGTAGATCTTATTCCCATCCGTTGGAGTCACTAAAGGCATCCACCATGCTGCACTAAGGGAATGTTTATCAGTTTAGAGAAAATATCTAATGGGATTAGAAAATAAAAAACGAATTAAACATTATTCACAAGATTATTCAGATACTTTAACACTCTTTTCCGCAGTGATTACTGGTTGCTTTACTACTTGCATGTAGTGAAGCAGAGCTTCACACAGACTTTACTGGCAAGAAGCAGTGATCTGCTTCACAAACCTACTTTAATAACACTTCTAGGTATTAAACAAAACACCTAGAAGTGTTTTTAACAATTTAATAAGTGAGCAGTTTAAAAAATAGATATTATTTTGTTTGTAATAAATCTGTAGCCCATAAAGTAGATCTTTACGGTCATAATTAACTTTTTTTTTTACGTCCAACATTAGTTTCTGTCTCTGAATGTTTGTTCTTAAACCTTTAAGCTGTGGACGGTTTTAAGGCAGGGTTATTTAACCCTGGTCCTCCTGCCCCCACACACCTGACCTGAATCAACAGGCTTTTAACATATAAGCCTGAATAAACAGGAACTCTAATTTTAACCCAGAACTACGAACACCCAACTCTTTGTTGTGGGGATGGAGGAAGCAATATGTATGGAGAGATATTTGTGCCATCGGTTTGAGCGCGCAGGAACCAATCCGAGCGCGCAGTGAGACAACACGCGCGCGCGCAAAACCGGTCTGGCGCGCGCTCAACTCTGAAAAATCCTCTCAACACACTGTTCTCGAGCTCAGTTTCATCTCTGCGCGTGCTCGAATCCGTCTCTGCTCGCGCTCGCTCGACCTGCTCTCTCTCCGAGCGCACAGCTCGGCTGTTTCTCCGCTCGCTCGACTCTCTTCTTCTTCTTCTTCTTCTTCTTTGATATTTTTGGCGGTTGGCAAACAACAGATAGATGCATTTCCGCCATCTACTGGAATGGAGTGTTGACCAGAATGACTCTCAGGAATTAAATTCTATTATATAAATGTGTTATTTTTAGATATCGAAATACTATACTGTAAATATTACCATCTGAATAACTTCTGAATAATTGAACTAAATCTAATTTAACTTTTACTTTACTCAAATTTTGAATGAATTGCTTTCTCTCCTCCTCATATTTGTTACAGTATAACATCACATGCTCAACTGTTTCATCTACCCCACAATATTCACATTTCCCATTCCTATGTTTTCCTAAGATAAACAGAGAACCATTTAATCCGGTATGACCAAACCTCAATCTAGAAATGATTGTTTCTTCTCTTCTTGTTCTTTCTGTTCTTCTCATTTCTCCAATTTTCTTTTGAATTTTATAAAACCAACGTCCTTTATTTCCTTTCTCCCATTCCTTTCGCCATTTATCCTTTATTTTCTGTTTAATTAACATTTTAACTTCAGATTTGCTAAAATTAACAAATAAATCCACTGACACAATTTTAACAGCTTCTTTTGCTGCCTTATCTACTTGTTCATTTCCTTTAATTCCATAATGTGCCGGTATCCATACAAAATTTATAACTAAACTCATCATATTTATTCTATACAGTGTCTGTTGAATTTCTATCAAAATATCTGGCCTGCTTTCTGAGTGACTATACTGCAAACTAATTAAAGATGAACTAGAATCTGAACATATGACTGATCTTAATGGCTTAACTTCTTTCACCCATTGAACAGCTAATAATATTGCAATCATTTCTCCCATATAAACTGAAAGTCCATCACTTATCCTTTTCCTAATTTTAACATTAAATTCTGGTACGATAAAGGCTACTCCTATTTGATTTGTTATATTTTAGAGGCATCTGTATAAATTTTTACATACTTATAATATTGATTAATATAATCCTGTACTATATATGAGTTTAATATGAATTTCTTATCCTTTCTTCTTTCCAACAAAGTAAAATCTACCCTAGCATCTGTAATGATCCATGGTTGTATAACTGATAATGGAACTGTTTGGCTTATACTAATCTGATCTATTTTGAGTTCTGTTATTTTTTCCTGCACAGTCCAACCAAAACTTCTAATATCTTTTACTTCTTTTTCCCAACAGGGTTTTATTACTTGCAGAGTTGGGTGATCCTTTCTATGACCTTTTAAATTAGCCCAATAATTTAATGTTAATTGCTCTCTTCTAAATGCTAGTGGCATTTCTCCCATTTCTACTAACAGTGCTGCTGTTGGAGTAGTTTTAATTGCTCCTGTACATAATCGCAATGCTTGATATTGAATCCGATCCAGTTTTTGAAGATTTGTCTCTGCTGCTGAATTATACACAATACTTCCATAGTCTATCACTGATCGAATTAATCCTGTATATATATTATTTAGTGCTACTCTATCTGCTCCCCACTCTCTACCAATTAAGCATCTCATAATATTTATTACTTTCTTGCATTTGTCTACAATTTTTTGAATGTGTATATTCCATGTTATTCTTTCGTCAAACCAAACCCCTGAAAATTTGAATTGCTTCACTCTTTCTATTTCTTGATTATATAATTTTAATTTACCATCATTAATTTTCTTCCTTGAAAAGAACATTGTTTTAGTCTTGTCCACTGAGAATTTAAATCCCCATTTTAATGACCATTCTTCAACTTTAACAATTGCTTGCTGCATCTTTTTAGTAATAAATTCCAAATTCCTCCCTCTCTTCCACATTGCCCCATCATCAGCAAAAAGAGAAAAACCCATTCCATTATCTATATTTTGAAACACATCATCTATCATTATTGAAAATAATAAAGGACTTATTATACTTCCCTGTGGAGTACCATTTTCAGCAATATATTTCTCAGAATGATATTTACCTATTTGAACTTGTATCTGTCTTTCAGTTAGAAAATCTTTGATCCACCAATACATCCTACCAGTAATTCCCATCTTTAACATTTTTATTAATAAACCTTCTTTCCACAACATATCATATGCCTTTTCAATATCAAAAAACACTGCTACAATACTTTCTTTACTAATTTGAGCTTTTCTGATTTCAAATTCCAAACTCAAAACTGCATCCATAGTATTCCTACCCCTCCTAAAACCACTTTGATATTTTGATAAATATCCATTAGATTCTATATAATAAATCATTCTTTCATTAATCATTTTCTCCATTATTTTACAAACATTTGAGGTTAATGCAATTGGTCTATAATTTTCAGGTTTTGTATCATCCTTCCCTGGTTTACGTATTGGTATTATTACAGCCTCTTTCCAACTTTTTGGTAATTTTCCGTTTTCCAAAAATTTGTTATAAAATTCCAATAAAATTTCTTTAGATGTTTCACTAAGATGCTTTAACATTAAATAACAAATTTGATCTTTCCCTGGTGTTGTTAATTTAACTGTCTGAAGTGCTCGATTTAATTCCGATTTTGTGAAAGGAACATTCAACAAATCATTTACATTCTCTGTCTTCTCTAATATCTGTCTATTTTCTAATATTGTCATTTCTCTCCCCCTTTTTCCTTCCAGAGTAATATTATCTGAGCTATTTATTTTAATAAAAGTCTTTGCCATCATT